ACGGAATTTTCTACCGGGACTGGAGGGATACTTCTCCCGGGATGCCTCCCTAGGATGCCTCCCTGGGATGCTTCCCTGGGATATCTTCCAGGGATGTCTCCCAGGGATGTCTCCCATCTAGACTTATGGTTGTCCCTCGACAGAGACGACGGGGACAGGGGCCCGTCCCCCCATTGTCTGACGTGAATGGGCGGCATGGGAAGAAGAAGAAGAGATTCACAGGGATGGTTGTTGACGCTTCGGCCCACCGTCGTCATCCCGGATGGCCTGGCATGATGGCCCGGCACGATGGCCTGGCATCCCTGATTCTCTATTCCGGACAGGTCCACGCTCTTCTATTCTCGTCCCAATAGCCCTCTGTCACTCCCCTCTGTCTCCAAGCCGGTAGGGGAGGGGGGGCGGGGGGGAGAGGGGGGCGGGGGAGGGGGGGGAGGGGCGAAAGCGCTGCACAACGCGGCGTACCCTTGAACTTGGGCGATGAAATGACGCCGCGTCGGCGGGAGAAGCAAGACAGAAAGACATTCCATCCTGTCTCCCGTTTGATAAACCACCCGCTCCCACCGTCACTTTCCGCGCAGTAATCGCCGATGCTCAAACCCGAATGTCCCTCGAGGGGCGCTAAAAAAAAATTATTTAAAATAGTTTCATAAAATACTTATCGATATAGACATATTTCTAACGAGGAAACAAATGGTCCACCAGCCTCCCAAGCTCGAAAAGAATCCGAAGGATCCCAGTCGGCGTAACAGACAAGGATTTGCGTGGGTGGAGTTAAACTCCGTTAATTGGTCATGAGCTGTGGATGATATCGCCACCCTCCCCCCCCTCCTTCCCCCCCTCCCTCCCCTCCCTCCGACCTCGTCATCCGGATGTCACGGATCATCTCCCTCCTTCAATTCCCGGTTCCGTCTCATACCGAAGGGCCTTCGACCACTCCAGGATCCTTTTTTTTTTATTATTATAAATAAACTCGAAATACTCGCGACGCTAGATCGCAGATGTCATGCCGCGTTCACAGATGTCACGCCCCGATCACAAATGCCACGCCGCCACGCGATGAAAAAAAAAACCTGCAATGACCTTTCAAACCTATTGCGTCTGTGATGAAGATCAGATTAGATTAATCCTTCCGAGGATAATTGTGGTGGATGATCAGATCGCTATTCTGTATTTGTTAATTACTTTCAAAGGTTTATCATTTTAATTTAATGTTGATATGAACACATATATGTACGAACTATATGTATTTATCGTTTGTACTTTTTGAATAATTTTATTCTCCAAGTTTTTTTAAATGATTTATTCTTCCCACCGTTTTTTAAATAATTGCTTTTGATCATTTCCTTTTATTCCTTACCCTGAAAAATCCCGACACTTTTTATAACTCTCTTCCTCCAAAATGATAACGACAACGAAATGATAATCCTATTATTTAAAAAAAAACGAAATTTTCGCAACCTGATAACACGGGAAACGAGGCGACGGATGACGCCAACGGATGACGCCGACGGTGCCGTCACCGCCACGTCTGACCCCGCCGCCACCTGGCGGCGCCAGGAGTCTTCACCTCCGCGAAAAAACGCGAAAAAATTCCAAGCGGAATAAAGAAGACGATGAAGGAGCGACGAGAGATTCGACTCACCTGTCCCTTTTATTTTTTTATATTTTATTCTTTTATTCATTTCGTTCTTTTTGCTCTTATTTTTTTCCGTCGGGTACTGCTCGTGGAGTCGCGGCAACACGGATGTGCCGGGTGATGCAACCCGTCTGGAATTCCGTCAAGGCCAGGATCCCTCCCCGATCGCCCCCCGATCCTCCCCGATCCCACGTCACGTCCGTAATGACCGTTCCCGGCGTGACGGATTCGGGAATGTCACGATCCGGTACCGTTCTCACGGAGACGCGTCCGTCGTAAATCTCTGCCTTGTCCAAACGCGGATGCTGGTCCATCACTGTCTACGTATGTCTAATAATAAAAAAAAATAATAAAAATTGCCGGATCGGTCCCGGGGCTCCTGGACTCCCTCAAGGACACTAATTTTTTTTCGTTATAAATATTACTTCTTTCGAAAAAAAAAGAGTATTATTTTATGATATTTTTCTGTAAGTATTATTTTATGCAAACTGTGAGAAAATTATGGTATAATATCCAAATTCTTCAGTTGTTAATAATTTGTTATTATTTATAAAACGCTTTCAAATCAGGTTCCTCGCAACAGGAAAATGAATGTAGAATCTCACGAAAAGTCGGCATTTTTGCTGAAATCTCCCCAAGGTCTACAAAAACCTGCACCTTGCCCATCCGAGCACCGCTGAGGCCCCGCTGAGTCCCCGCTGAGTCCCCGCTGAGTCCCCGCTGAGTCCCCGCTGAGTCCCCCTGAGTCCCATCGTATTTCATCGATACGACATAAATATTTGTTGAATGACCACGTAACCCGGGACAGGACAGACCGGACAGGGCTGAGCTCCGCATTGCTTCCATGAGTACACGCGCACGCGAAAAAGTGCGTGCGTGCGTGCAGGTGCACGAAAACAAAAGCTTTTTCGAAACGAATTTGAACCGACCTTGGACATTTTCTTCGGCACATTCCTGTCCTGTCCGAGTCGGGATGTTCGTATTCTACGACCGTAGACGGGTCCAAGAATAGAGGTCAAGGACAAAGGCCAAGGACAGAGACAACGCAAGTCGCACCAGAGCGAACTCGTCCAAAAAATCCCCCGAAAGACCAAAAAAACGGCAACAGGTTGCACTTTAACCCTGCAACTCCTGGTCTTGCAAAGAAAGTTTTCCAGCGGGATTCATGGTTCAACGATGAGTTTCAGATTCGCCGAATGGCCGAGATTTCCCACAGCATATTGCTATCCATAACGCTATCCATAACGCTATCCGTACTGCTATCCACACTGCTATCCTTATTGCTATCGTCAAATTCTGAGTCGAAATTTTCGATCGATAAATCTCCCAGCTGTTTGGACCGGGAGGACAAGCCAGAACAGGAACGGGGCCATTTACGGACATACGAGGACATAAAAAGACATAAAAGGGCATAAAATGGGATAAAAGGACATAAAAGGACATAAAAGTCCTAAGACGAACGGATTCGAGCGCCGTCGGTTCGCCTCGGCGAAGCCCGCCCTGCGGAATCGATCACCTTGCGCTTTCTTTTTGGGCTTTCGGAGGACTCTCCGGCCTTTTTCCGATGCGGATTCATCTCATTCATCGAATAGCAAAGGTTACAAAATTGCAAAAAAAAGCGTCTCGTTAAGATTCATTCCCGTGAAGTGCAAAGAAAGGACCGCGGGGCGGGTGACAACGGTGCGTCGTCGCACTCGTCGCACCCGTTGCACCCTGGATGGATTCCACGTGTACGAGCCGAAAGATGACGCATCGTAAGAATGACGACGAGAAACGGCCATCTGTGGCACGTTGCCGTTCCCGAAGTCGGCCGGAAGGAATCTGCCACAAAAGTCCCTCGCCGCCCCACGCCTCCGACGACGAACGACGGGACCCCCAGGCCGACGACGGCGAATCCGCTCGTCCGACGAGGCAGCCGGCCTCGAACCGTGCCTCCCTCCGGACCCGACCCTTGCCTCCCTCCGGACCCCGATAAGAACAGGAAGCATCGAACATCTGTCGACGTTGCTCTGTTGTGATCGCCCCGGCGCGAAAACAGCCCGATAAAACGCGATGGACCGATGCCAACGCGAACGGGCTCGAACTAATGGGAACGGGGCCCAAAGTGCCGAGGCGATAAGGTCCGGATGTACCCGGTGATTAGGACCTCTTCCGGGGTGATTATTCCCCGCCTCGTCGATCAACGTCAGACTTACACCTCGTGTCTTTGCAAATTTTTTTGCTTTTTTTTCTGCCAATATTTTTTTTTTGCTATTTTTTTTCGATGTCGCCCGATCCAAGGAAGCCGTTGTCCCGATTCCGTCGAAAATCCCGGGGTCGACGCACCCGGTCGAGATAAAATCGGCCGCGAAACGCCGGTTCTTCTTCGGTACCAGACGACCGAAAAAGTCGTAAATTGAAGGACAGGTCGCTCTCTTGTTCCCCGCGCCATCTCCGGGATCTCGCGACTCGCGAGATCTCGCGATAAACGTCCCCGTCCGACTGGGTGCATCCGCGTGCCAAATTGTGCCAAATTTTCCAGCGTAAGGAGGCCGTCGAAACGACGCAGAAGAGCAGCCTTTCCGCCGAAAGGGCCCTTTCTCGCACGACGGAGCCGGGGAATTTTCAACTTTCAACTTCTATACGATGCCCACGCCGATATATATATATCCGAATATATGAATATATAAAATCCGAATTGCGTCATGAAATTAGAGCAGTTGGGGCTAAAAAAAAAAAAAGATTTTGCAAAAGAAGTTATCCAATGCAACTCATTTTCAGCTCTGCGAATTCGAAATCATGTTAAAAGACACACGGTTCCAGTTAAGCGCAACTCATGGCATCGCTATTTTTCCCTTTACGGAAGCACTCAACTTTATCGAGAAATTCCTATTTTCCTTTCCCTTCCTGGCGATAAGATAGCCGCACGGACGGGCGACGCCTCTTTGCAGCGGCTGGAAAGTGGCGTCGTCCGTTCCACAAACTTCCGATGAATTTACGACCCGCTCGAACATTTTTTTTTAAGTTCGGGTCGACTCTGGTCGCGTGAGCAACCCTGAAAGTTTTTTTTGTCAATTGAAATATTTCAGATTTCCACATTGGTTTGCACCTGTGGTGACGTCACCTTTAGGGGTGACGTCGCCGTCGCATGGATTTATGGACCGGACTCGCAGGAAACAGTCGATCGCCTGCGAAGAGCTCCGATTCGGGTGGAATCATTAGAGTTGGTTTGGTGCCAAGGTGGAAGAGAAAACCTGTTGCCCTGTAGAGAGCCAGGTTTCGAGATTCATTCCTTCCTTCCTTTCACACGTGTGGATCCTGTAAAATGAATTGACCTGACCTTGCTGACTTCGTCCGGGCACCGGGCCAATCTCCCGCCTGATAAATGGGTGTGAAATCCCCTTGGAAACAACACCCGTTTCTCGCGCGGGTGTTGTTCCTCCGGGAGACCTTGACCCGGTTGATCCGGTCGATCCGGCAGATCCGGCCGAGCCGGGGTATCGCCACGTTCGCCAAACAACTCGTCGGAGAAGCAAAACTCATTAAGGGGGCCGATACGAGACTCCGTCTGTCACGGAGATCCTATCGGGACATCTTTCGATCCCTTCCACCTGCCTGCGAGGGGAATCGGCTTTCCCATCTAAGATGTGCCAAGGCAGGTGTGTTCTCCGAGGAGAAAAGAAAAGGAACCGAGGCTTAAATTCGGTCGGAAGAGAGGCGACGGTCGAGGCGGTCGCCGATTGGTCCGCGCGACGAACTGGACTCGCGATTGGCTCTCCCTCCGCTCGGGGCGACCAATGCCGTCTCTTCGCCGATCGGATGACGATTTCTGTGTCGTTCCACAGGGAAGGCAGCGGAGGCGCGTATTCAAGGGACGGGGAAGAATGTGACGGTGCGAGTGAGCAAGAAACTGCGACTGCGATGCAAAACCAAAGGACTCCCGACCCCCGAGATCACGTGGTACAAAGACGGGCGACCCCTGTCCAGCAATAAACGCATCGTAATAACAACCAAGAGGTACCGTACTCCAGAGCACGCAATTATCATAAATCCCAAGTTGCATGCGAATTTAAAAAAATACGTCGCGGATGAATTTGTTCAATAGGCGGAAATCTCGACTGGTGATCCAAAAAGCGGCTCCGAAAGATAGCGGGACGTACGAATGCAGGGCGTGGAATGCCTTCGGACCCCCGTCCGTCTCCACCACCCACGTTCTCGTCAAAGGTTACAAGTCCGACCGTTTCCGAGTTTCGCTCTCGGCCGGGCAAGGAACTTAGGGCGAATTTTTTTTTTTCTCTCAGGGAAACTCGAGCCGAAGAATGACTCAAACGAAAGTCCCTGCGAAGTCGCCCATTTTTGCCTCAACGGAGGCACCTGCACCTACATCAAGGACATCAAGGAAATGATGTGCACGTATGTTCCCTCTTAAAAATTTTTCTTCCAGTGAGCGAGAGAAAAAAAGCTTGAGTGAATTGGACTTTGAAGGTGTCCGAAGGGGTTCAAAGGAAGTCGCTGCGACAGCAAAGACGTCACGGATGCCCGATTGGCAAGTACGTTGAGGAACGCTTTGGCGAAAACCCGGCTCTGCATATACCGCGACAACACCGTCTACCCCTGCTAGCCGTTCTTGCGCTTTTTTTTCCCTTTTTTTGCACAAACAAAATTTGCACAGAAGAACACACAAAAAAATGAAGCGCCAAGCGATGATATGATCCGTCCAGCCATTCCAAGTTTCTACGAGTTCCTAGTCATGCTGTGTATTTGTATATCTGCGCCGCGTTTTCGTTGTGGGCAGCAAGTCTTCTCTGCAAGTTTTCTTCTCTCCCCCCTTCCCCCTTCGCACTTCGCTTTTTCCTCTCGGGGCAGGCTTGCCTTGTGCCATCTCGCTTTTCTCCTTCCCAGGTAAATCTGCGATGGTTTTCTGCATGCTCGGGTTCTCCTTACTCTTTGCATGGTCTGTGGTGAAATTGGCTTTCCCGAAGTAAATTTTGTTTTTCTTCAAAGTTCGCAGATAAAATTCAAGGATCAACTGTGATTCCGGTTGAGAATTTCGCTTCCTGCTCCCTCATGGAATCATTTTTCATTTTCCCTTCGGTCATCTCAAACGTCTGTTGGTGGCGGGTGAATGCAGTTTCTCTAGTTTTGCATGCTCTTAGCTGCACACGAAACATCCGATTTTTTACATTTAAATTTCAGTAAATTCTTAAAAAGAAGAAAAACCACTTAGCATTCGTTTTGGGGGGGTCTAGCGTCTTCCTGAGAAGCCTGGAGAATTCGCCTTCATAGTTTAGTGAATGAGTGTGTGTGTCTGTGGTGTGTCTGTTTTACTGTAGGTTTTCAGTCGTGTCGTTTCGTTCATTAGTTAATTTGGATCGAATGAGTTTTTTTTTTCTATTCCTTCATCTCTTGATGGCTGTGTTGCTACTTTTCGGATACATTGGATAAGAATTTTCGTATTGGGTGTACGCAGCTGTTCCGACGGATTTTTGGGACACCGATGCCAGTTCAAGGATGTGGATGTAAAGACCCCCACATCCCAAGGTGAGAGAAAAACGAAACTTTTCGTCGTCCCCCCTCTCCCCCTCTACCCTCGAATTTTCTGTTGACCCCTGCATGGAGAATGAGCCCGCCGGGTGCACGTCCTCTGCATAATGCATGGATTCAGGCTCCGCATCTTTCGGGAAAATACAAGGAAACGTCTCCCGTTCGTAAGGAGCTGGGCAAGGGCCAGAAAGGATCAAAATAAAATACGGGACTCTTTCCCTCCCTCCCGCGACGCACATAATCCCAATATTTTGAGGAGTCCTGTCGCCGGGGTTAGTTCTCGGTACGGCCACGTGGAGGAGCCGCCTCGTCGAGGGGAAAAGTAAAAGGAAAGAGAAAAAAATCAAAGGGGAGGGGCCAAATGCGTAGGCCAGTGAACTTTGCCTGGCCTGACTCCAAACTCCGGGAAAAAAGAAACGAAGAGACAAGACTAGCTTATAAGAAGGGGGAGGGACATCTTGAGGCTTAATGAGACAGGTCCCGGGACATGACATCTCGTCACAAGGTCATGTCTGCTTGCTTTCCAACCTCCGCTTCCTCCTTTTTTCCCCTCCCCTCCCCCCCTCCCCCCCTCCGCTCTAGACTTACTAACAAGTGTCGAATCTTGCCCTGTAGAGAGATGAAAGAACACATAAAGGGCTGGCGACGTTCAGAGAAGACGAGACGATTTTTCATCTCCACATTAAGTTCAACTTCCTTGCATGACGGCAGCATGTGGGTTTATACTTTGTTTTTCTCTTAATAAAAGGATCAGGGCATGTGATTATGGCTGGGGAGGAGAAGATCTTGGTCATGCTGGCTATCTTGATTCTTTTGGCCCTTGTGTCCGGCGTGACCCAGTGTTATCTCTGTCGGTGAGCAGCCTCACTTCGCATTCATTCACCTTTCTCTCTCTCTCTCTCTCTCTCTCTCTCTGACTAACTCAATGCATCTTGGCATGTTTGCGCGAGCACGGAGGTCTCGAGTGTCACCATTTGTTGGTCACTGTTGAATGCTGACACATCGAGGCTTCATTTAGAATCCTAACGTTATTCTCTTTATTGTGACAGTCTGGGACATGTAAAGTTTCACGTAGTACATAAAATTGATTTTAAATTTTTTCTTCCATTGAGCATTAGTTATGCTGTATTTTTGTAATGTAGAACGGATTTTATGTGTAAATTTGTTCCAAGGCTTTTCCGTTGCTAGGAACAGCCAATCCACTTACTGGACTATCCAAATTACAATAAAGAACTTTTTCTAAGATATATATCAGTTTTTTTTTAATTATAGATCCTAAATTATTTTCCTCGTTGTTATACCTTTCAAGATGTATAATTCCTTGCCTGCTAATTTCAAATAGTCCAAGGCTGTCATTCCCTCTACTTCCCTCGAATGCACAACCTTCACAACCATCATTGTATTCGTTTTTTCCTTAATCATCCATGGTATTTATAGCGTGTTGAAGATAGAGTTCCTTACGGAAAATTGTAATTTTTTAGAGCAGATCTTCTTTGTACTTAAGTATTTACAGATGGAATTTTTTCCCCTTACATTATGCATTTGGCAAGCCATTCTGAAGATTTTTTCAATGGAGAACTCAAGGTATTGGTAATTTTGTTCTTATATAAGTGAACAATTGGCATGCAATGTTGAATTTACTATGCGTAAAGGTAATATTTTTTCCTTTTTGCTGAGCATTGTTTTAGTTTATTCCCTGTTAGAGTCAAATTTTGAAGCGTTTGAAATTTGACTCTGCGAGCAGCACCTGGTGGCTGTATCGGCGACGGCAGCCCAGGGTGTCCGGAGGCCGGCGGGGATCACCCCGCCCTGCAGACTACCCCGTCTATCGGTCAGTTCCATCGTCACCGTCACCGTCACTGGCACAGAGATCTTCTCCGTCGACGCCTGTGGCGGAGGCTCAACGACTCGGACGAGAGGAAGGATTCCAACGTTTCGGGGATGGAGGAGAGGTCTTGGAGGGGGAGCATGAGGTGGCATTGACTAATCTTACAACTCCTAGTCATAGTTCTGGGGATCGGGACCAGGACCCTGGACCTTCGTCTACTACCTCCTTCCTACCTCCTTCCACCAGCTATCCCACAGTATGCAATCATTCGTTCCGTATAAACTATGGGAAAATGACTCGGAATGAAGGCATAATGAAATATCTATATGCTCAAATGGGATGAGTTAATAACGAATGGTTTTATGGGAAAGAAATCTAAATTGATAATTATGCTGAAAATAAAGTTTAATAATTTTTTAGTTAACTATGACTGAGAAATAATTGCATTCACTAATAGTGACACAAAAGACAACTTATGTTCTGCCTTAATGAATGCTGCTAATAATTAATACGAATGCATTCGAACTTTGATGCATTTGACGTTCGAAGTTGCCTTCCGCCTTTGTACTTGGAAACTGAATGCTTTCTAAAGCTGCTGGATGCTTCAAAACCGATTAAGTATTTATTTTCGCTTGCCGTTTCATCCGTATATAGGAAGAGGACGAAGGGGCAAGGATGCCAGATCCCCATTTCCAATCCCTAGCCTTGGATGAGGCCCTACGGAATCTGGATGAGGTCTCTCGCACACTCGGCAGCTAATAAACGAAATCCAGTTAAATTTAAAGGAAAAGGTTATTGAAAGAGAAATATCCGGATTCCTCGGTCGCTTCAACATATCATACCAAAGATGAAAGATAGTCAAATTCCCCCCTCCGCCCCCCCTGTGCAGTGCATTTTTTGTGGAAGCGGGGGGGAAGAGAGAAAGGACCGATTGTTTTTCCGCAGACACTCCTGTGACACGTGGACCCCAAGCTCCAAGATGATTTTAGTGACAAAAACGAGGAATGTCTTCTAGGAAGCCAAAAACGATTATCGATTGTACATACTTTTTTTGTATTTGTTCACCCTGCACGGAAATTCCATGACGTGATGGCGAGCCAGTGTATAAATAAGAGAGCTAGCGTTTCTTTTTTAATTTTTTTGTTGACATTGGTGTTGTTTTCGTGACTGAATTTGCACAAGTGGAGGGAGAAGGAAAAAGAAAAAAGGTTGCACTGCTTTTTGCAAATTTTCTTAGAGGCGGGGAGCATTCATCACCGACGGGGGAAAGTGCAATACTTAAGTTCCAACATCTAGGCTGGTTTTCCTCTCCGGAAACGAACCGTTTGCCTGAGAAAATTCCCTGTTTGGACCAGTAACGGCACACAAAAATTAACCTGTAGATTCCTTGATGGCTGACCAGAGGCTGCATCTCTTCACTGCCGGAGAAAGCATTTACAGGCGACATCTCTTGAGTTTTAGAATTTTTTATGCTGGGTGATGGATGTGAATGTTGCGGATTGCTTCAGAGATTATTTTTATTTCTAATATATTTGCCATGAGAATAATTTTATGGGGGATATTGATGCCTGAGAAACTTCACCGGTCTCCATGCTCGTGTACAATGTTTCTCTCTTTTTTTGTGGCAATCAAAATTGTTTTGTCTCGGTTCTTGTATTGTTCTTGGATGGTCTCAGAATTTCATCGTGTGGGGAAAAAAAATGAAAATGGCGGAATCACCTCTTGTACACCCCCCGGAAGGATTTGGAATTTTTCTCTTAAGAAGGACCAGAGAGAGAAATGTTTGGTACACAAAGACTCTGCTGATATCAGAGGCTGATCCTAGCTTTAATGTTTTTATTACCTTGTATTTTGCACACGATACACGTCGCTCTTGTTTTTTTTTTTCTCTCTCTCTCTCTCTTTCTCTCTCTCTCTGTCCTAGGCATCTCAAAAAAAGAGATTGTAATTATTGAAGTTGTTGATAGACTGAATAAAAGTGATGTGAAAAGCTATGGAATGCATATTTGTGAACGCGGTTTCGAACATCATGCTCCAATTACGAGATGAATCTGACGGCCGGAGAACAAGCATAAATTACACGAGGAATAAATATATTTAAAATGCAAAAGCATTCCTCTGGGTTTCCAAGAAAAAAAAAATTCTGACACAAGTCAGAAAAAAAAAGTCTACAAGCTTTGGCAAGACTGCAGGACGAGAAATCAGCGGCAAAAAAAAACACTAACCTGGGCGATGGACGACGCAAGGGGTAGAGTGCAGTGGGAACGCAAGTAGGGTGCAGAGGAAACCGAAACAGGGTGCAGTGGAAGAAGGAAGGTGAAGTTAAGCAGACACTCGGGGACTAAACACAAAAATTAGCACGTCACACCGAGCACACGACACGGCGAAGGATAAAACACACGCCATCATGCAGATTCAAGATGCGCAAACTCCAGAGGGGATCAAACAAGGTCTGAATGTATTGGTATTGACATCGATATTGATATTGGTAAAAAGGTCATGCAAACTGTCTCAAAGCGGTGAGGCACCCGCCACCCACCGAGCCCCAACTCGAGGGCACGATGACATCGGCATGCCCGAATCCGTGCTAAATCCTTCGGGGAAAAGGGCATTCGAAGCAGAAAAAAAAGGCATTCGTCGCAACAGTCACTTTATTCCCAATTCTGTTCTCTCTCGTGGCGGTGGTAACAACAACCAATCTCTCTTTCTCTCTGTGACATATAGGCATAAATATGTATGGATAATAGAAGTCATGTCACTAAAAGGGACTCTAGAGGCTTCTCTTTAAAGCTGTTGGTGTGCACGAGGCAGGAAAAAAAAGAAACAAACATAAGAAAGCAGTTGGAGATTCAGAAAATAAAAACCCGTACAGAGAAAGGCACTTCGTCTCCTTTTCGCTCTCTTCCCGGGTTAAAAAAAAAAAGATCCAAATTGATTTCGTGATTCTTGCTCTGTTCGTATATGTGCATGTGTGACTAGAATAATATATTCTTCTGTAGGCAGACGCTGTCATAGAATTCTCATAAAATTCATCTACGACTCTGTGAAACGTTATAGGAATAAATTTCAACATCTGGAAAACGGACAAAAAACTTTAGAATTCCAAGTCTTCAATGAAATTCCTGGAAGCTAGACTACCTGCTAGTGGTAATTGGATTAGCACTGAGGATCAGAAACATGGCACGGCCAAGAAAGAAAAGAAGGGGGGAGGGAGGGGATTACTTTGCAATTTTTAAGCACCAAAAATCGCCTGGATACACCGACACTCTTGTACTTATTCTTATTCGGAAGAACGCATGCGGGGGGGGGGGGGGCAGAGGGGTATGCTATGGGTGAAGCTTTTTTTTTTTGTTCCACTCATTCTCTCGTGTGACCTAGTCGAAATAACTCTGGAAAATAGAAATCTTTGTCCCTGTACAGATACAATCACACCGTGGAGTTAGGCTCGTACGATAATCCGGGGGGATTAGAAAACGCTCGCTCTCTCGGTCTCGGTCGGCTCCGGTCTTCTTTGGCTTCCTCGCACCCGGGACTCGGGGGGGGGGCTCCATTGGGGGGGCTCCATTGGGGGGGCTCCACTGGGGGGGCTCCACTGGATGTGGATCGAGTCGCCGTTACTGTCAATGGAATATTTGATGCGTCTATTTTCTTTAAGTTGATTGGGATGATTAATGGGCAATGAAAATAAGCGTGAGGCCCCGTTTACATGCACATTTTCAAGCAGCTGATGGATATGGACTATTTCTTTAGGTCGTGTTTTTTGTTCATAGTGGCAACTTTTCATCTCCGTTTGAGATGAAAAGTTGCCACTGCGTAGCTCATCGGTGTCATACGAACGGCTGGGCCCCGAGGATTCAAGGACTTTCTCGCGGGTGCACAGGAGCAGGTTGATCTAAAATTACTTTTTAAATTACTGATTACGTTTCGTGGGGAATGCTGCTGAGTTCTAGCGGCTCTTTTGCTCATGTAAACGAGGCCCAAAAGTCGATGCATTCGGATGAGGCCAGAGTGGGCGCTTTCAGCGGTGCCTCGGGTCGTGACCCGAGTCATCGAAAATCGACAACAAAAAAATCGTGACTCGAGTCGAAACGCAGCCGAGGACTGAACGCGCCCAGCGATGGCCCCTCTCTGCGGGGGCTGACCTTTAGTCAGAGCCTTTGTACGTAGTTGCCGGGGAAGGTGCCGAAGAGGCCCGTGCGCTGAGACGTCCCGACGTACCATCCGTCATCGCATTTCTCCAGCACGTACACCACGTCCCCTTCCCGGAGCTCCAATTCGTCTTCGTTCACCGGCAAGTAGTCGTAGAGCGCACGGTACCTGGGGGACACGCGCGAACGTGTGAGAGCGGGTCGGTCGTCGGTCGAGTCGGGAAAGGTGAAATGGCTTACGGGACGGGCTCGGAGTTGACCTCGACGTGCATCGTGGGTCGACCGGGCTCCTGTCCGTACGATCGGGCGTAGGCGTACGTACGGGACGTCGTGGTGCGCGAACGCGGTGCGTTCCCGTGGTATCGAGATGGGGACGCGGGGCGAGGAACGTGACCCGAATGTCTGGGTGGAGACACTGAGCGAGGCACATAACCGCTCGGTTGTCGCGTCGGTGACGTCGGTCGTGGCATGTAGCCGCTCGGTTGTCGCGTCGGGGACGTCGGTCGCGGCACGTAACCGCCCGGTTGTCGGATCGGGGACGTCGATCGAGGCATGTAGCCGCCCGGCTGTCGGCTCGGAGACGTCGATCCGGGCCCGGAATCCGTGCGGTAAGCCGAACCGGTCGAATAACCCAACTGTCGCGATGGGGAACCGGTGTAACCCGACTGCCGAGGTCCTGCCGGGGCGTAGGTGTAATCGTTGGGCCTCTGGCTCGGGGGCGGCGCGGGTGCCGGTGTGGCCACACTCCCGTTCATGATGAGGCTGTGGGCTGCCGGTGATGCCACAGGCTTCGTCACCGAGGTCCCTGGAACGTAAAACAAATCCAAGCCTTCAAATCTCTGCTGCCTCAAATCCGAGCAAAGCGAAAAAATTTCCAGTCAAAATCTGACGTTTTCCGCTCACGAACTCGTTAAAACTTTCATCTCTACATTTATTTTCAGCGATTTCAAAGTGAGAAAACGTTACTCTGAAAGAAAACTGCGTCCAACATTGAAAGCCGATTAATTTTGACACGTGACCGCTCGGGAAACCCCGATGCCATCTCACCATGACGCTCGACGCCCGGGGGAACGAGGATCTCCACGTACGAGTCGGGGAAGATCCCCCGCTTGCTCCCGATCCTCCCCTCCCACCAGTTGGCGTCCACTCGCCGCGTCAGTGCCACCAGCTCGCCTGTGGGGTCAGAGGTCAGAGTCTTCAAACTCGAGTATCGTCCTGGGCTGATCGTCGTACTTTCGGTTAGGATGGAAAAAAAAAAACTCGACGCGAGGGTTGCGCCAGAGCGAAATTGAAAAGTCTCGTCGATCCGAAGAAAAAGTTACAAGCGTGGAAACGAAGATGCCCAGATTTTTCTACGTTGCAGACTTTGTTCGCGCTTGTTTTTTCAATTAGTTCAATCTGTCCTTCGCAAACTAACGATCGTTTTCAGTCATTTGATCTGCTTTGCAATCTGACAACCTTTATCTCGTAATCCTGGTGACCTGGAAGCGAGGGGCAATTTCCCACTTATATAGACGATTTGCTCTAACGAGAGAGGCGATTGCTCCATCCTGCTCCTTGTTCTCTCCTGCTCCTTGTTCTCTCCTGCTCCTTGTTCTCTCCTGCTCCTTGTTCTCTCCTGCTCCTTGTTCCCTCCTGACTACGGTTTCGATCCCTTATTGATTTTAGCAGCCAAGACGAGTACGTTCATTGTAAATAATAATAAAAAACCACTGGGAAGGCTCAGAGAAAAACCAATATGAGGGAGCGTGCAATCTTGATTCTCACTGTTATCGAGAGTTCAACGATTCCGGTATTCTCATTGAAGACAAAACACGAATCGTAATTACATCGTATACTGTCGCAGTTGTCTATCCTAAGCACCACAACAAGTTCGTTTCGACCGAATGAGAACATCTGAGATTCTCCCCGCTGCAAACCCTGCGTCCAACATCCCGACTCGAAATCGGCGAATCCCGGCGACAGACACCGAAACCTACCTTTGATGAGGGGAAGCTCCAAGGGCGTGTGAGCCTGGAAGTGGTACCTCGCCCGGGCCTGTCCCTCGGCGACCCGCTTCGCAGTCGTCCCGCTCGTCGCCTCGTCGTAGGGGATGAGCTCGACGTACGAGACGGGGAAGATGCCGTGCATGGCGTTGTGCTCTCCCTCGTACCAGTTCGGGTCCACCTGGCGTCGGATGTACACCAAGTCTCCTTTCCGGATGCTCAGCTCCCTGTCACGAAGTCAGCCGTTCGGTCATCACACGTTCTCGGAGTTAGTATCGTCGACTCGATTTACGAGGATTTTTATTTTTATTTTTGTCTCGTGGTCGGCATAAAATCATGCCGCTTCCGTCGAACCACCTTTAAGTTTCCTGAAATTAATGGAGTTTACTTTACCCTTAAGGACTGCTGCGTTTACTGCATTTGCTGAGACGTGTCAGAACGGCGTTCCACCATTCCGACCGGGGCAACAAGAACATCATACAACAAGAACATCAATACGAGGTGATACGTCGTCATTATCCACGCAAAGGAATTTCGAGAACTCGGGAAGCGAACTGCAAGCTTTCCCAGCCGTGAAAAACCACATGTGGAGCTTTCTCACGAGAAGCGCGGCATCTTCACAAACACGTGAAGACGTTTCTTGGCAGTACAGGACCTCGCTATAAATTATCAGAGACAGCATCTCATAAAGATGAGCCTCCCCGGAACCGAAGATACGGGCTGACAGAACTTTCCATACGGTCGGTCCACATAATGGAGCAGGTTTACGACGAGCCAGGCTCGAGGATATTAGCACTCGGTGGAAATATATGGGTTACGAGAGCGACTTAGAGCCACGCAGTTGATATACGATGGTGGCTCGCCACAAATCTCATTCATAATAAATCGCACACCAGACGTCGTACCTGGAACTCTGAGCGATGAAGTCGTGAAGGGCTCTGCCGATCGTCTTCGAGTCCGGGGTGAGGCGATCCCTGTCCCGGGAACGAGGCCGGGAATCGTCGAACAGGTTGTCGTAGCGGTCCAGGGGGATCAACTGCGTTTTCTGCGTTGGCCTGTTTAAGCGAAAAGTTCAAAGAACGTCCTTATTTTATTTTCGTTCTTGTAATTTCTTTCAATTTTTAGGATCTTATGGATGCTCGTGATGCATTTCGCACGTGATAAAATTTTCTGGAATTTATCATGCGAATCCAGGAAGGGACGTACGAGAGGAAGTCCTGATGTCGTCGCATCTCCTGGTCCTGCAGCTCCTGCAGGAACTTCCTGTGTCGCTCTTCCTCGTAGAGTCGTCGCATCTGGGACGCCTGCCGTCGTCGCAATTCATCCTCGGGGATGAACTCCTTCTCCAGCGCACGCACCGGGGTCCTGTAGTGGATGTTCACCTGCCCTTCGTTGTACTTGTGCGGCGAGGCTGCGACGGAGACGAGATCGGTTTACGGGGGAAACAGATTTGCGACTACGCGAGATGAAATAATATTTGCCGGGGAGGATTTTTATTTCGTGCTTACTTCCGGGTGCCTCTGGGTTTGGCAAGGTGGTGTTTTGAGGTGCCACTTATGTAAATACATAAATCGCAACGAATGGAAGAGTCTCTCCAAGGCAAATATTATTTTGTCTGAGAACACGGAGCCTACAGAACTGATATTATTCAAAGTAGATCAACGACGAGGATCCAGAGTGAGACGAAAACCGTAAGTCTGTGAGTCAGATACGTACCGAAAAAAAAAGAGTCTTAGGAATTGTTATTCCACCTCGTTTTTCCGTGGCACAAGATCGGGTGGATCCTTTTGCATGCATGCGACTCGATTCAGAGTTTGTCCAAATTTGTCGCCACGGGATAGTCGGTTAGTCCTAGGGTTTTTTTTTTTGCCTCTGAACGCACTGTCTGCCAAGGTTCACCTGATTTTTCAGCCCATAGGTCGAGGATCTTCCTTTCTCAATAGAAGCGATCGATAGAAACGATCTTTCTCAATAGAAGCCACGTACTTGGTTCGTCATTAACTCCAAGTAATATAATTTAGATCAAATATGTAAGATACGCATGTAAATTCTGGGTAGGATGCGGGATAATCTGGATTAGTTAAGTCCACATCTGATGTAGGATATAGAACTCGAAAATTTCCAGTCTGATGAACACTCATGGAAGATTTAGTGGATTTAGTTTGGAACTCAAATGACATTTAAAATTGGAGACTCCACATAAATTTGCAGAGACATAAATTACCCCCCCCCCCCCCCCCCCCCCCCCCACCCCCCC